ATCGAAACCCTACTCAATTATGACTATATTTATATAATAATGCCATGTTCATGGCTTTTCCACTCATTAAATCCTGCATCTTAGTCTTTAATAAAAACTCTGTATAACTCTTTTGAGGTGGTAGTTGTGTTTGACACATTTTTGTTAGCCTTACCTATATATCACAACCAAGTTTATCCTGAATTTCATATAGCTTATTTTATAAGCAATTTTTATGCAATCTTCCGTATAAGAACTAATAAATTTATTAGATTTCTCGAGGAATTTAAAGATCTAATTTTCTAAATTCATATACTATGCTATTCCTACTATACTATACTATTCCTCAGGGCCCTTATTTGAGCACATTTTTGGCTTGAAGATGATCAACGCTTCATAAAAAGTTTGTAATTCGTGACAGTTTAACGGCCCTTTAAGTACCAGAACAAGAGGGTCAAGTTTATTTAGTGAGTTGTGCTATTTTCTCTGCTCTTAAGATTAGTTCTTACTTTTCCATATGCTGGTTTAAAAGCTTGGCATGTATTTCATGCAAGTATTTTAAAACTCAATAGGTCATTCTAGATGCAATTCACCACCTTATTTTGGGCTAAAGAGAAGAGTCATATAAAGTTATAATGTTATTCCAGGTCAAGACATTTACTTGATGCGTCTGGCAGCTTGTAGGTAGTCTTATTCAACTGCAACTAGTTAATATTTATTTTTTGTCTGCTGGGGAGCAATATAAACGCACATAATGATCAGCTTACTCTTTTTTTGATTGCCATTTTCTTCGTTATTTGCCGTATTGGAATAGTTTTAACTAAATATAAAAATCTAATTATTTTCAAATAGTGGGGCTTTTTTATTCCCTAAGAGTATACACATAAGAGCTTTAGTCACTATAGGTGGCTTAAAATAATCAAGGTCTGATATTGAGTTTTCAAAAAATAGTTAAGCCCCAAGATGCGATATTATTTTACTTAGCCTTACCTCTGGGAGGTATTTTCATCAAAGCTGGACTGCAGTTTTTACCTTGCTCCCATAACAGAAATCTAATCCTCCTAGTGCAGCGTATAATTTTCAAATATTACCTCTACGCTACACTGCCGCAAGGGTCAGTCATTCACAGAGCAGAAGTGAATTTAAAGGTATGTCAGGCCTCTCCCACATCACATCATAGAGCGGGATTGTCGCTGGATTAAACACGTATTTACCATTACAGATTACAAAGTTACCTGTATTAGCATTGAGTAGAATTTCGAGATTGTCTACAGTACTTGAATCATCTCAATATGAGAAACTTCACTATGAGTTTTTAACCAACCTACTCGACCTCTTAGTAAAGATCTACCGATTATTTTGAAATTCTACTTAATTGGATTCATATTTTGCGTTACAAATTACTTAATATGTATTCCCATTTAAGTATGATAATTTTTTATGATTCTTTTCCATTTCTAAGACAAATCTACTTCAGAACCAACTAGATCAGCTGAAACTTGTTAAGCCTGTACCTCTGGGGCCCTCATCTGCTCACTTAGAGACAGCCGGTAACAGCGTATCTGTTGGGGCTCCCGTTGGCGAGTCGCTTCATCTGACCCAACTTGAAACTCGACTTAGACAGGCCCTTGAAGAGCGTGATATGGCCCGTGCTGAACTGGTTTTAGCGGAATCTCAAAGGCACTTTATCTCCCAACAGGTAGAAGCTATATTTTTGGGGTCACATTAATATCTTAGTCTTTTTCTAAAAATACTCCTCAAAAGTCGTGTTAATACCGTGACCTTCAAGCTTTATAGAGTATCATAAGGCATGCAACATACATACATATTTATATTTTCTTCAGTTAATAAAAGTGGATGTTTACCTTGCGAATAAGATTCTTAGCAAGCGTTTACGAATGGCCTTGCTTTGTATTTCAATACGGTCTTATCAACAGCCTGAATTTGACTCTAATTAACGATCCACACAGCTGTTGCTCAAAACACCATTAATAGCACCACGTATTGGAATAGATCGAAAATGGAGAGTAAAAGGCAGCTTAAGATGAATGATAAAGCCTTTTGGTCATATGATTGTCAATTTCAACACAACGTAAAATCCAATGGATTTTATATTTTCTTATTAACTACATTTGTTTGTTATTAGATCATAGTTCTATGAAAAGTATTCACTAATTTGTCAAGTTTAAGCTTTCATTGCTCAGAACTATCAATGAATTGAAGTGACGGAGTAGGTGTAGTTTACCTAGCTATATCCATATGAAAATTATCGTAGAATTAAAACGAATATTTGATTTAAATACTTGACTTCTCAATACAATAATAGGTACTCTATATTAATTTTTCATACAGAACCTCTCAACAGCAGTCTTTGGTTTCTTGTAGGATGTAGATAGGAAGGCCCAGATGGCGTAATC